GAGAGTTTGATTTGGGGATCTGGGTGAAAATTTGGTGTCATATCTTGATAAATTTGGTATGGTTGGACTCGTGGTTGAATGGGATTTCGGGTTTTGTAATTTTTGTCGGATTTCGAGACGTGGGCCCGAGGGCCGGCTTTGAGTCGATTTTTGATTTATAACTTTTTACTTTCTTATGGAAATAATTTCTTTAGCCCGTGCTGATTGTATTGTACTGTTTGTGGATAGATTCGACGCATTTGGAGGTCGATTTGCGAGGCAAAGGCGTGTTGGAGTAGACATTTGCTCGGATTAAGGTAAGTAACAGTTCTACATCTGGTTTTGAGGGTATGAAACCCCGTATTATGTGTCTTGTGACTAATTTGGAGGTGATGCACATGCTAGGTGACGGGCGTGTGGGCGTGCACCGTAGGAATTGCGACTTGGTCAAATTCCGTGGAACTGTATAATAGAAAAATCTGTTGTTATCTGTATATTATCCATATGTTATAACAATTGGACTGCAAACCATGTTAGAAATCATGTTTAGACTATGTGTTGATACTGTAAGGACCCACAAAGGCCGTGTTACATGTTAAATTATTTGTTAAACTGGTGTTTGTATTTAGTCCTCGTTTTACTTATATATCATATCTCAGTCTCTATTGTTCCTTGTTGATATGTTATATCATTTCTGTTTGGGCTGATTTTCATGATTTCTGAGAGTCCTAGAGACTGGAGAGGTTGATGACTCAGTGAGGCCGAGGGCGTGATTGTAAAGATATTTATGGGATCGGTCTGCACGCCGCAACATGTTTCATTGATTTATGCCATGATTGGCTTGATATAGCGCTTGGGATGAAGGAGCCCCTCCGGAGTCTGTACACCCCCCAATGAGTGCATGTACCTACTGAGTGCGAGTGCCGAGTGCTGAGCGATTGAGAGTAATGAGTGACTGTGAGGAATGAGTGATTATGAGGTTGGAGTGAATGGGAGGACTGAGTGACTGTTGCTCTGAGAAGATGCATTGATTTGATTATTGTTGAACTTAGCTGCCATATATCCTTGTCTTGAAATTTCTGAAAGATATTTTACTCCGATTTCACTTGAACTGGACATGAAGTAACTGATTTGACCTAAATTGTCGAACTTGAAAACATGCTTACCTTCTATGTTGAAATTACTACAATTAAACTATAACTATGAAGCTCGTCACTACTTTCGGTTCATTATTTAGTCTTGTTACTTATTGAGTTGGTTGTACTCACGCTACACCCTGCACTTCGTGGGCAGATCCTGGTGTTTCCGGACACGGTGGGTGCTGACTTCATTGCATAGTCGATCTTTTGGGAGATTCCAAGGTGGCCGCCTGGCGCTTTTATAGACCTTGTTTCTCCTTCTCTATCTTTTTGCTTATTGTATTTAGTTTCGGACTATGTTAGGCAGTATTTTTCGGACTTGTGATATTTAGATGCTACTCAATGGCACCCCGATATGGGAATTTCCGCATTGTGTTTTGGATTTTCTATCCTGTTTATGAGAAGTATTATTATTTAAACTATATTAAATCCATTTTCTGTTAAAAGTGTTGGAGTTATTTCGTAAATGTCGGCTTGCTAAGTACCACGTTAGGCGCCATCACGACAGGTTAGGATATGTGTCGTGACAAGGTCATTGTTCTAAAATTCAGAATTCATAAAGTTCAAATCCTAGATACGCTTGTGATTCTAAATTTTCTGATTTTAATGTACCCTGCTATTTTTCTAGTTGTTAGTGAGGTGATCGTCAGTGTCGATTTTGTAACTGCAATAAGCACATTTCTCATGTGATTACGTCGAATTGTCCTAAACCACCTTTGCTAAAACTCAACACATATAGTTCTCTTTAACAAGTGAAGCTAGCTAGAAGAGGTTATATACAAAGGTGAATTCAAAATTTAATGTTATTTGGTGCGGAATGGTTGAAGTCGATTATATATACACTCAATATTTTCTTCGATATGTATACACTCGAACCAAAGGTTGTGACTTCAGTTGAATCTGCTGAGCCATTACAGCTGATTAAAAGGATTACGATAGGATAAATATGATCGTTGCACCATTAATCAGAGATCTCTGATTCGAGCCTTATGAATAAAAAATATTCTAGTAGAGAGCGCATGCCCTTAAATAGGTCATACACAACACAAATATCGGATATCGAGGTGGAAAACTCAAAATAGAGGACTTCAACGTTAGTTTAGAATGCAAATTTGTCTATTGCTTTAACTTAGGGAGGGGTATGCAGCTACGAATTTTCTAGCAAAGACATAATTGTTGGAATTTCAGTGAGGATATAACTTATATACATTGACAGTGTTAATTTTTGTATACTGTTGTGTATTTTGTTCTAATAAAAATTGTTACCAAAACTAAAGAAGAAAAACACTATATAAAACATTATGTCCATAATAACATGTCTTACCTAGAGAGAGAATGTAAACATTCAAAACATAAAAGGAGTCACAAAAACACAATATCTTTTTTTTTTTCCGGCGTCTGATACTTGCATAGGAGCCACACAAATAAATAAAGATTCGTGGTAGGAAGTCCCATATTGGGGCCGTAAAACGCTCCACAACAAAGATGACTCGATGCCTAAAGTTTGAACTCAAAATTCTGATTAACGATGAAGAAATACTTTTCACTCTACTGCAACCCTTATTGGTAACATAAAATATCAAACGAGTCTTTTGGGGGACTAAATTAAAAGCAATGAAGTATATTGGAGGTTGACCCTACTAAGGTTCTTGGAATTTACTCATTAGTTGGACACTTAACATGCTGCTCAACTGATAATTCGAAAGAGTTGAGTATTTTATGTAGCAAATAGGACAGGTCAGTATAATGACAGATATACAAGATTAATTAATTCAAATAACTCATTCAATTAATGTCCACATGGTATAGTAGTACAAAGAAAGTTAAATTTCCCAACTTTAGATCGTTATAATTTAATATGCACAGAATAGAAAATAAGGTTAGTGCAATAATTTCCTTTTTCTGGGCAAGGAATAACTTTATGTGCTACAACTTTATCGATAAAAAAAAAACAGAATATCTTAATTAAAGGCAAGCCAAGCTTAGCTTCTTTTAAGGATACAGAAAAAGGAAGTCGTTTTAAAAAAGAAAATTAAATAGAAAATTCGAAGAACCATCAAGGGGTGTGGTAAAATGATTATGATATCTCTACTCTTAACTAGAAGCCACAATTCGAACCTTAAAAATAAAGAACCTTTTGGTAGGGACTCTTTGGTGAGCCTAGTTCGCACGATGACGAACCCTGGAACGAACAACTTCTTGGTAGAGTGCTTTACCTCCTTACTACCCTCTTAGCGGGCCTATGGGGCCGTACGATTACAGATTAGTCGGGGTAGTAAGTTTTAGATATCGGATCTCTAGAGCAAACAAAAAACATAAGGACTTTTAACACATTTCGCTGGTCGGCCAAAAATAATTACAGCCGCTAGTTAAATATACAAGAAAAATATGCACTGATTATATGTAAAAAATATGTATATTATTTGTATATTGTATATTAATATACATTTGCCGACTATTATTTTAGAGATGACTATATTGTTTAGATTTTCTAAAATAACAAAAAAATTCATTGGAAGTAATTAAGCATATGATTCTTAAAATTTTAAAAATCTTTTCCTTAAACCCAACTCCTCTTGAGCAGTTCGTGGTCAAATTTGGCAGGCTGTAAACATATACTACAAAGTTAGCACATTTGCATTTTAAGAAATCTATCCCGCTATTTTCTCTTCTAATAAATTTCACATGAACATCACGTGTCTGTTTTTGACTATGAAATTAAATAGTAGAATTGTTCTAAAGTCCACTGTTAAAATCACGTCTTGGTCACTAATTAAGACGAAAATAAAATACGTAGCTAAAATATATACCATAATAGTAGAAACAATTGGTGGTTGTGGAAGAATAGTGGATATTACCGAAGGTTAAAGCACTTTTAACGACGGAATAATTTTTGGTAATTAAAAGATTAATACTGGAATGACAATTTAGCGAAGGAAAAATTTGATCGCTAAAAGGATGTATAACGACTGAAATTCGATCGTTAACTTTTTATGTGAGGGCTTTTAGAGATCGGCAATGGCCGAATTTTTTTCGGTCGTTATTGACTAATAATGACCGGATTAGGACTTTTAGCAATCGGATCTTCCCTCGCTAGAAGCCTATTTTCTTGTAGAGTTACATGTCAAGGGAGTGAACAATTTTTATATATAGAAGTCTTTTTGACAATAAATCAAAACCCCCTGGAGAATACGCGAATAAACGAGATTATACTGACCAACACATATTCTAGTTGTAAGATATCTAATGAAACCGTCGCTGGAATTGAGATCTTATTCAAAGAGAAAGATCTCAAATATCTGGAGTTTCTTTCTATATATTATATGGATGATCCGATCCGCAAGGACCATGATTGGGAATTGTTTGATCGTCTTTCTCTGAGGAAGAGTCGAAACAGAATCAACTTGAATTCGGGACCGCTATTCGAAATCTTAGTTGATTCGATTAAAGTTGTCTTTAGCTTATTTGTAAAGTACAATTTTTCGACTAAAGGAATTTAATTGAACTCTATTCGGGTCATGTAACGTTGCTCCTTGATTTCACGAAATTACACCCAATGACCTTGAAAATAGATGGTCTTGATTTTTTGATCTTGCTTGTCCCATGGTAATTAAGACTAATCATATCTAGGAACACGTTCAATTAGACTAATTTACATCACTATCCTTTCCTTATTGTTTCTTCAATTTTAATTCTATGGTTGTACTTTTATCACACAATAATATAATATTTTAATTAACAAGAGTGCATCTATAAATTAATCATTATTTCAGAAACTTACATGGCGAGTTTACCGGGTCTTACACCAGATAATTAAGCAACCTAAATTGCAGGGCCAAAACACTATATATATTAGTAGTACAACTAATGCAAAAAATATCAAACACTACTTTCCTAACTATTACATCATTAGCCCATTTTTCAGCCATGAAAATGTTGAAAATCCTTTTGGTTATTTTTTCTATACTTGGTTTTTTTTCATGGCCTAGTATGCAAAGCGATTCTGAGATATACATAGTTCAAGTTGAATCGCCAGAAAGCCGAATTAGCATTCAATCATCAAGAACAAATTTGGAAAGTTGGTATAATTCTTTCTTGCCAAAAACCATAGCAACTACTCGCTCACATGAAAATCAGCCGCGATTGATATATTCGTATCACAATGTGATGAAAGGTTTTGCAGCAAGATTATCTGTAGAACAAGTGAAAGAAATGGAGAAGAAACCTGGATTTATATCTGCACGGCCGCAGAGGATATTGTTTTTACACACAACACATAGTCCAAGTTTTCTTGGATTGCAACAGAACATGGGGTTGTGGAAGGATTCTAATTATGGGAAAGGTGTGATTGTTGGAGTTTTGGACACTGGGATTTATCCTGATCATCCTTCGTTTAGCGATAAAGGAATGCCTCCTCCGCCTGCTAAATGGAAGGGCAAATGTGAATCAAATTTCACTACAAAATGTAACAACAAGCTCATTGGCGCGAGGACTTTTGCACAAGCTAGTGAATCGCCGCTTGATGATAATGGACATGGTACACATACGGCTAGTACTATTGCTGGACGTTTTGTGGATGGTGCTAATGTGAATGGTAATGCTAATGGCACTGCAGTTGGGATTGCCCCTTTTGCTCACCTTGCCATTTATAAGGTTTGCGATTCTTTTGGTTGCTCTGATAGTGACATTCTAGCTGCAATGGATGCAGCTATCGATGATGGAGTTGATATCCTGTCGCTTTCCCTTGGGGGAAGTAGTAAAGCATTTTATAATGATCCAATTGCGCTTGGTGCGTATAGTGCAACACAAAGAGGTATTCTTGTAAGCTGTTCAGCTGCTAATAATGGTCCATATGATAGCACATTATCAAATGAAGCTCCCTGGATTATGACAGTAGGCGCGAGCACTATTGACAGAAAACTTAAAGCCACTGTTAAGCTTGGAAACAGAAAAGAATTCGAGGGCGAATCAGCTTTTCATCCAAAGGGTCACAGTTCAACATTTTCCCCTTTGTTTGATCCTGCATTGAATGCAACTGATTTCGACAGCCCTTATTGCGGAACAGGTACGTTGAATGACCCTGATATTAAAGGCAAAATAGTTTTGTGCATGGCGGGTGGTGGTTATAGCAGGACTGAAAAAGGACAAGCTGTAAAGGATGCGGGTGGTGTTGGCATGATTATCTTTAGTTCGCCTGATGATGGTTTCACCAAATTCGCCGATGATCATGTCCTTCCGGCTTTGTATATTACTTACAAAGATGGAATAGAAATTCTTGACTATATGAACACAACATCAAAACCTATTGCAAGACTTGCATTTCAAGGAACAATAATCGGAGATAAAGATGCACCAGTAGTTGCTGCATTTTCTTCTCGCGGACCAAGCTTAGCTAGTCCTGGAATCTTGAAACCTGATATTATTGGCCCTGGTGTTAACATTCTCGCGGCTTGGCCTCCCTCTCCTGATAACAAACCAACCATAAAACCTAACTTCTTTCTCGCGTCTGGTACCTCTATGTCTTGTCCTCACCTCAGTGGAGTAGCAGCATTGCTGAAAAGCGCGCATCCCACTTGGTCCCCTGCAGTTATTAAATCAGCAATCATGACGACAGCTAATACAGTAAACCTCGCCAACGATCCCATCTTAGATGAAAGGCTACTTCCAGCTAACATCTTCGCCGTTGGTGCAGGACATGTCAATCCATCAAGAGCTAACGATCCGGGGCTAGTTTACGATACACAATTTAAGGACTACTTACCTTACTTATGTGGTTTGAATTACACAAATCGACAGGTGGGAAATCTTCTACAACGTAAGGTGGATTGTAAACAAGTGAAAAGTATTCTTGAAGCGCAACTAAATTATCCTTCATTCTCCATTACACTCGGGGCAATTTCTCAGACATATACGAGAACAGTAACTAACGTTGGGGACGCTAAATCATCTTACAATGTGGAAATAGGTTCACCACCGGGCGTTTCTGTGATTGTTAAGCCCTCTACTCTAAAATTCTCGAAGTTGAACCAGAAGTTGAGATATCAAGTAACCTTTTCAATAAGAGCTAATAGCTCAAACAGTGGTGTTGTTCAAGGATTCTTGAAATGGACTTGTAATAAGCACTCTGTAAGAAGTCCAATTGCAGTTGTGCTAGACACTACAATTGGTTTCTAGTTTAATTTCTATTTTTAGTTATTGGAACAATGTATAACAAGTCTATATAGCTTGTTTGGATGGTTGTTACGCATCTTTTCATAATGTATCGTATCGTACTGTATTATATTGTACTGTATCGTTTGATAAATACAATATTTGGATAGATTGTATCGTTTGTCATCGTTTCATGATATCACGCACCAGTAATATGAAGAATAAACTTGAAGAAAAAATATGATACAGGGTTAAATTACTATATAAAAAGATAGGATAAATGATAAAATATAATTACTTAATACTAATAATAAAGGGTGAGATTGAGAGAAAAAGAAAAGGTAAAGACGCGACCATACGGTCGTTACATAAAGTGACACATTTCGTCATTATGTAACGACGGATTTAACAATATGATACAATAAAATTTAAGTAACAATCAAAACAAACATCGTATTTAACGTAACAATACGATACAATACAATGGGTAACAATCATCCAACCATTCAATAAAAACTGTAGAATAAGTTCCAAAAGTATTAGCATTCTATTTGGCCACACAGATTCAGTTGTTCTGTGAAATTATAATTCCACCTTCTATATCAGGTAGGTAATACCAAGATTTTGGCATAAAATTTATACTCTTATACCGATATTAGTTAACACCAATCAGAGGTGGACCTATGTGTAACCTTGCTGGTCATCAGACCCCGTAAACTTCGGCAGAAATCTAGTATTGTATACCTTGAAAATGATTAATTGAAATCACTTGGCTCCCTGAACACTAAAAGCCTTTAGGGAGCACTGGTTGAACAGAATATTAGTGCCCCCGTCGTGTTAAAATCCTGGATCCGCTTCTGACACCAATAACCATACAGCGGATCTTAATTTAGTTGTGAAATTAGTATCCTAATCCCAGTAACCAAACAACTCCTCAAAGTACCGGCCCTAAGCGGGCATCGAAGGTTAAGATGGTCAACTCATTATTTTTCTTTTTGAAGAAATCTATACAAGTTTTAGAACCAAGTATTACTTTAAATTGTATTGATATATTGTCTCCAATCCGGTGGTTGTTTTATGAAAACTAACTTTACTTTGTCAATCATTGTCCCCCACATGGTATTCAAGAACCACAACACTTCAATTAAAAATTAAGCACATTGTATTAAGTATGTAGTATGTGAATAGAACCTAGAGAATAGAAAATGCCTAACAACTTCAGCAATCTGCATATGTTGTGCTTGATCTGCACTCAAGGGTGTAGTTTAACGGTCAATAAGGTGAGGGAAAGTCACAAACGGAAAGCCAAGGTTCAAATTCTACTAGATTTTTCAAAACCGTTAGGTGATCTCTTCTCAGTAATCTAAGTCTTGGTAGATAGAGTTAGTCGATATATGTTCTGGTAAGAGGTAACATGCATTAGATGTAACAATTAATGTGCGTTCAAACTGATCTGAACACCTCTATTAATTTTCTTTTTTAGAAAGACCATAGTGCTTGATCTTTTACCATCATGTGACTATAATTTTGAGCCCAAGTAAATTTATTTTTTTACATCAGTAAATTTCTTAGAAAATAAGCCATGCCACTTTACCAAAGAATCTCATGGTCAAAACCAAGAAAAGCAACACTATATAACAGTTTATAGGTATTAACTATATCGTGATATTTCTTTGGCGATAAAAGCATATCATTAAGGATAATGGAAAGTTTAAACTTTAAAGGTAATTTTTTTTGAAATATAAAAATAAGTCATTATTTTCCGAACATACTAAAAAAGAAAACAGAGCCACATAAAATGGGATAGAGGAAGTAGTAAGTTCTAAGAAGTCAACAATCACATGGCTGCTTATTTCCACTTCTTATGTACTTTCTTCTTTTCATCTTATATGGCGGTGTTTAACCGGGACAATACTTAAGAAAGATGAAGTCTTTTGAAATTTATAATTTTATATATGTCATGACAATTATGAGACTGTAAAAGCATGTCATTAAGGATAAAATGAGAAGTTTATAAAAATAAAATTATTTTCAAAGTTAGAAAGTGTCATTTTGTTTAAAATGGTAAAACAAAAAGTGTTACCTAAATTGCTCAATTTCTCATTTCATGTCTTATCTTTCTTGAGGATCATTTTCTTTGCCCTTTCAAGTTAGTTTAGGGCATCTTTCTCCCATATTATTATGGTAAAATACACATATAATGTCTTATCAATTAGTTTTGTATTCATTCAAAATATCTTTAGTGCTGATAGTTTCATTAATATATTATGCAATGGCTTTGGTTGTTAGTGAGATGATTATGCTTTTCTTATGTAGAATTTGCAGGAATCGACAAGTTATAAACAAAGAGCCATCTCATGTTTCCAGAAAATTAAAGAGCTAGGGTCCTTTGTAGACTTGTTATTTGTCTAGTCACAGTCATAAAGAGAATAAATCAATGGAATAAATCACATGCTCCTAGCTATTCCAGTAGTAGGTACACTTTAAAAAAAGGGGCAGCACATTGTATAAAGTATCCCGCATTCACGCATGGTTCGGGAAAGGACCGCACTTCAAGGGATATGATATAGGCTGATTACCCTGATGCAAGCATCGGTGACTGATTCTACGGCTTCAATCTATGACCTATAGGTCATACGAAGACAACTTTACCGTTGCTCCAAGGTTTCCCTTCACTTGAGAAAACGTATGCAAGTAAACCTTTGTGTATGTATATACACGAGCAAATTTGTGCACATCTCGACTAATAAATTGGATACCTCGACTATCTCATCAACATGCGTTTCGGAAATGTAACGACCTTGCCGGTTATTTTGAGAATTTACGCCCCGATCCTCTATTAACTGCTTTTCCCCGTGTTTATTTTTGCTATTGTGGTTTGTCGGGAAGATTCGTTTTGAGTTTCGGAGTATTTTGGGACACTTATTCCCTAAATGTGAGTTTAAGCTTTAGAATTTGGACCGTAGTCGGAACAATGTGAAGACGGCCTCGGAATGAAATTCCGTCGATTTTGTTAGCTCCGTTGAGTCATTTCGGGCTTAGGGGTGTGTTCGTATTGTGTTTTGGAGGTCCGTAGCTTATTTAGGGTTGAAATGCCGAAAGTTAAATTTTTGAACTTTCCGGATCGATAGTGAAAATTTGATATCGGGGTCGGAATCCGTTTTCGAAAGTTGGAATAGTTCTGTAGTGTTGAATGTGACCTGTGTGCAAAATTTGGGGTCAATCGGACATTGTTTGGTTGGTTTCGGCATCGGTTGTAGGATTCTTGAAATTTCAAGTTCTTTAGGCTTGGATTGGAGGGTGATTCGTGGTTTTAGCGTTGTTTGATGTGATTTGAGGGTTGGACTAAGTTCATATGATGTTTTAAGATTGGTTGGCATGTTTGGTTGAGGTCCCGGGGGCCTCAGATGAGTTTCGGATGCTTAACCGAAGTTGATTTGGACTTAGGCAATTGCTGATATTGCTGAACCTGCTATAACTGCACCTGCGTATGTAGGACCGCAGGTGCGGCGCTGCAAAAGCAGCTAAGTAACCGCGGAAGCGGGTTTGGCCTGGTGCTCCAGGGACCGCAACTGCGGCTCGGAAACCGCAGATGTGGTATCGCAAATGCGGCCCAGTGACTGCAGATGCGGCCCCAGCCCGGATAAGTGGATTTCGCACCTGCGATGCTTTTTCCGCAGGTGCGGGACCGCAAATGCGACCCCATGACCGTAGAAGCGGAAATCGCTAGCAGAAAAGAGAGAAAATCGAGGGTTTGAGTTCATAACTCTAAAAATCGAATTGGAGCTCGGTGGAGGGCGATTTCTGGAGGGATTTTGAGAAAGATTGGGTAATGAATTCTAACTCAAATTTGGCTCTAATACATTAATCTATTGTTAGTTTTATCATCTAATTAAGGAATTTGAGGGTAGAAGTTTGGGAATGGGGAAAAGTCCCCCAATGGAAAATCTGAGTTTTGAGTATGAATTTGACGTCGGATTGGGATGATTTTTGTACGAGTGAACTCGTGAGTGAATGGGTGTTCATAATCCGTAATTTTTACCCGATTTCGAGACGTGGGCCCGAGGAGAATTTTTGGGCGTTTTTCTATTTTCTTGCCTTAGTTTTGATTCCTTTAGCTAAACTCGTTGGTTGTAGTTATATTTACATTATGAAATTAATTTGATTAGATTTGGGCCACTCGGAGTTGGATACTCGTGGCAAGAGCATGATTTCGGATTGATTTGAGCTTGGTTCGAGGTAAGTGGCTTGCCTAACCTTGTGTGAGGGAAACTCCCCTTAGGATTTTGGTACTCTTGTTATACGAATGCCGTGTACGTGAGTTGACGAGTGCGTACACGTGCTAAATGTTGAAAAAAACCTTGTTTTCATTAAGTAAATCTGTGTTTTCTTTTAGTTGAGCAGTACTCGTACTTGAAGTTTCCTGTTTAGCTTAGGAAAGCATGATTATGTGACTTCACTGCCTCATCTGCTTAAACTGCTTACTTGGATTTTGTGTAGCATGCTTAGCGTAGAAATTCCTGTTTTTTTTCTTTTTCTGAATAGAATTGTAGATTTCTCTCTTGAGACTGTTGTGTGTTTACTTTGTGACTACGGGACGGTATCATGGGAAATCCCCTGCTTGTTTACTTTGGGACTCGGATCAGTATTTCGGGAGATCCCCCTGCACCTTTATATTTGGGACTACGGGAGGGTATCCCGAGAGATCCCCCCTGTACTGGCTATTTACTTTTGGGACTACGGGACGGTATCCCGGGAGATCCTCTGCACATTTATGTTTGGAACTACGGGACGTTATCCTGGGAGATCCCCTGTTGTTATCACTGCTTGCTGAGTTATTTTCTTTCTGAGATTTCATCTTTATTTGATTGTTAGCATCTTTAATTATACTGTCACGTTCTATACTGTTTTACCTTATTATATATTTATATAACCAGTGGGAGTGGCCTCCGTGGAGGACAAGATGCGGGAGTCGAGGCTGAGATGGTTTGGACATGTTCAGAGAAGAAGCATTGATACTCCAGTTAGGAGGTGTGAGAGGTTGGCCATGGAGAGTTTGAGAAGAGGTCGAGGTAGGCCTAAGAAGTATTGGGGAGA